CATGAGTTCCCCCACGACATGAGCTACATCTCATTCATCTCTAGACTACCAGCACCTATCATCTCACAGCATCTGGACACATAGGAAATGCTAGACACAGAAGAGGCGAAACAGCAGGTACATTGCACCCTCCTTGCCCTCAGAGTATGTAGCCTAAATAAATATTTAGGCACGTAAATAAATATTAGTACTGCTATGTGATACATGCGGTACATGGTGACATACAGGGTATAAGTAACAGCACAGCAAAGGCCAGATTGGTTGGGCATGGTGGCTCACACCTGTAATCCCCACACTTTGGCAGGACAAGGTGGGAGAATCACTTGAGCCCAGGAATTCAAGACCTGCCTGGGCAGCATAGTGAGAACCCCATCTTCACAAAAAATTGTTTGTAAATTAGTCAGGTATGGTGGTACATGCCTGTGGTCCCAGCTCCTCAGGAGGCTGAGCCAAGAGGATCACTTGACCCTAAGAGCTCAAGGCTGCAGTGAGCTATGATCTCCAGCCTGGGTGGAGCTACTGATCTCCGGCCTGGGTGGAGCTACTGATCTCTGGCCTGGGTGACAGAGCGAGACTTTGCGTCTTAAAAAAAAAGAACAAAGATTGAGTGCCACTGCACTCCAGCCTGGGCGACAGACCGTTTGTCCCATCCTATTATGTATGAAGGAGGAAGGCCTGGGCTGCACTTGGTTAAGCGTAAGAGAAAGATAAAGGGGGCAGGGGTGTTCCACACTGAGAGGGTAGGATGAATAAAAGCTCAAGGCAGCAGTGGGTATTCGGGAAAGTGTGAGAGCTTCGGCTCAGCTAGATGAGGTAGTGGAAGGGGAGGTGGCTGGGAAAGAGGCAGGGTCTTATATGCCCTGCATAAAAGGACCTCAGACCTTCCCTTGCAGGTGAGTGTTTAAAGCACAGGTCTAAGGGGTTCTGGAAGGATGCTCTAGCAGCAATGCTGAGTGTGGCCCGGAGAGGAGCAGTGGAGCTACTATTCCAGCGCAGGGCTACTTCCCCAGGGTACAGGGAGCACCTGAGGGAGACAGCCCCAAGAAATGCGGGTTTCTGGACCACTTGGAAGGTGGTAGGTAGCACAAGTGGTCAAACTATGATGATGGGAACATGTGGAGTGCACCAGGATTTCAGTTAAGAAATAAGAAAACCATGGCTCAGGCTCTGGTTCTGTCATCACCAACAAGCTGCATCAATCATTCAACCGCAACTGTCTCACCTGTCAAATAAGGAAAATAATCTCATCCAAGGAAAACTTGAGTACATGTTACCAAGAATACAAAGGTGAGAAAAAGACATGGGCCCTTTCAAATCCACAAGGAAGAAAAGGAAACATAACAAAACAAGGTGGCAAGTGCCATAAAATACATTTTAAAAATAATTTCTTTTTGTCCAAAAAGTAATATATTCTTGCTGCAATAAAAGACCACTGGATAATAGAGTAAATTAAAACGATATAAAGTAGTAATAGAAATTAAAGAGATGACGGGGCAATTGATGATAAGGAAGTTTAAATGAGATAAACACAAGCTCTTTAAAAGTATGAAGCATTGACTGGCCAAGGTGGCTCATGCCTGCAATCCCAGCACTTTGGGAGGCCAAGACAGGCAAATCACTTAAGGTCATGAGCTCGAGTCCAGCCTAGACAACATGGTGAAACCCCATCTCTACTAAAAATACAAAATATTAGCTGGGAGTGGTGGCACGCACCAGTAATCCTAGCTACTTGGGAGGCTGAGGCATGAGAATCACTTGAACCTGGGAGGCAGAGGTTGTACAGTGAGCCAAGATCATGCCACTGCACTACGGCCTGGGTGACAGAGCGAGACTCTGTCTCAAGAAAAAAAAGTATGAACCATTACAAAGTCCACATTGGCTCATCCCTACCAGAGCTCTGGCCCGTATGTGCCACCCTGATCCCTCAGTGCTGCCCTGCTCCAGGGTTGGGGAGGGCCACCCATAACAAACATCTCCAACAAGAAGCTTTGTGAGATTTTTTTTTTCCCCAAGAAAATTATCCATGTAAAATGTTTTCTAAGAAATGTGGATCCCAACAATGAAGAAACAAATTATTTGTAGCTTAATAACCCCCGGGTGTCTGAAAGGCAAATAGAGCACACTGTTGGTTATGTTTGTTTGAAACAAATGCTGAGCTATTGACAAAGCAAATAACCACGACATACATATATGACAACGTGAGGCTTTCATGCCTATGAGAATTTTACTTCAATGCCAACATCATATTCAATAAATCACAGGACTTCAGGAAGAACCAAGAATGCCGTCAAATGCTATGATAAAAACAGAATTAAATAACAATAATATCAAACTATTAGAAGAATAGGTAAAGACTGGGAAGATACTTTGTGAAAGAAATATAGTTTATGGATAAAATACAAAAACATGTTCAACCTCACTAATACCCCAAGAAATGCACACCAAGGATCATCTAAATATCCATGAGGAATTGATTAAATACACTGTGGCACATCCATATGATATATGAACATGCTATTATTTAAAATTATGTTCTGAAACTGAGTCATAGGGAAAATATCCAAAGTATAATGGAAAAGAAAAAATAAGATACAAAATACTATAGACACAGTCTTGTAAAAAAAAAAATAGAGAAATATAAAGTAGATTACTATTAACAAAGAGATTTTCTCTAAGTGGTAAAATTAGAGATGATGACTTGCTTTCCATCTTTCCAAAATTTTCCATACTAATATTTAGAAATTTTACAATCAGAATAATCTTAAATATAAGTATCTGATAATTCTCAGCTTCTCGAGGGCAGGGACTAGGCCCGTGTTTTCTTATCTAACTAGTGCTTAGCACACAGCGTTTGTTCTATAATTATTTGTTGAATGGATCAATGATTGAACAAATGAAGAACAGACATACTCATTTAAAAAGTTCTAGCTGGGCGTGGTGGCTCATGTCTGTAATCTCACCACTTCGCAAGGCAAAGGCAGGTGGATCACAAGGTCAGGTGTTGGAGACCAGTGCCTCTACTAAAAACACAACTAGCGTGGAATGGTAGTGGGCACCTATAATCCTAGCTACTCAGGAGGCTGAGGCAGAAGAATCGCTTGAATCTGGGAGGCGGAGGTTGCAGTGAACCAAAATTGTGCCACTGTACTCCAGCCTGGGAGGCATTATAAGACACAATCTCAAAAAAAAAAGTTCTGATACGCTTTCACACTTTAACTTTTATTACATTTGCTTTAGCCTCCTCCCTCAACAGATAGTTTCTTTTCTTTCTTTCTTTTTTCTTTTTTTTAGTCTCACTCTGTCATCCAGGTTGGAGTGCAGTGGAGTGATCTCAGTTCACTGCAACCCTCACCTCCTACGTTCAGGCGATTCTTCTGCATCAGCCACCCAAGTAGCTGGGATTACAGGCACCCGCCACCACACCTGGCTAATTTTTGAATTTTTAGTGGAGACAGGGTTTCACCATATTGGCTAGGCTGGTCTCAAACTCCTGACCTCAAGTGATCTGCCTGCCTTGGCCTCCCAAAGTACTGGGATTACAGGTGTGAGCCACTGCACCTGGCCAGATATTTTCTTAATGGTTAAAATTAGTTCCTTCCGAGAGTCCTTGAGTGTCAGGAAAAGGAAGTACAAAAACACAGAGAGCTCCTGTCTTGACCAACAAGGTTCAGATAAGCTCTGCTACTCTTTTATATCTGAGTCAGGAGTGAGCTCCAAATGGGGGATTTGACATTATTGCATTACAGAAAATTCACATGAACTTTTGAGTTCTTGACCATATAAGCAAGGTATTATTAGAAGAGTCCTGAGAAGAGGGTTAAAGAAAAAAAAATTATTGAACCAAAGCAAACAGTGAAGGTACATCATAGAACATATTTTAAAAGAAAGATCAATTCTTAGAAGTCCAAATCTCGGAGGTCAAAATAAAAGTTAAATTCCACTTTTGACTTCAGCCAAACAGAATAAAGCATCCTCGGGATGAGACAGAGACAAAGATGGAAAGAGCAAGAGAAATAAGGAGGAGGAAAAACTGGCTTCTGAAAGGCTAGAAAGAGCATGTTCTAATTTAAAAGAAATATATCCTTCTTCATTTAAGGTTTAGGAGAAATTATCTTTCTGACAGTTAATTTTAATTGATTTCCTTTTAGAATTTTCAGTTTTTTCAAGTAAATTCTATCTACCAAAGTGGCAAGTTTCTGTTGTCAATATCAGAGACACCCATAACTACATAATTAAAAGAATTAGGTCAATTTTAGACTCACTGGTAGAACAAGCTTTAGAAGCTCATTTGACTATTTCACTCCAGAAATTAAAACTAAGCCTGGAAAACATCTGTCTTGGACAAACTAATTAAGAAATTTGTTTATATCTCTCACTAAAATTTGCTAAAATGCAGGTCATTCAAGTATAATAGCAAAAAATTTTTTTTCTTTTTAAGATTCAGGGGTTTCACCACATTGGTCAGGCTGGTCTCGAACTCCGAATCTCAGGTGATCCGCCTGCCTCGGCCTTCCAAAGTGCTGGGATTACACACATGAGCCACCGCTCCTGGCCCTGTATTAGCAAATCTTTAATGATCTTTAACGATCTCTTAATATACTTGAAACCATTGAAGGTACTCAGGCTTTCAATAACAACTTCCTGAAAACCTTAAATTTAAGCCAGTTATATTTCACTTTAAAGGTTATTATCACAATCTGATTCCCACAAAGTATTATACATCTACTATATACATATATAAAAGGCACCGGCAGTTTCTGTAAGTATGACAGAATTCTCTTGAGACAAGAGGATGAAACAGACTCTGGCACAAAAACTGCTCCACTGAACACACATTAAACACCTGGGGTTGCAATTTCCCCAGGAATAAATCAGCATCATGCCCCAAAGAGGTGCCACAGGTTTTCAAAGACTGAAATATAAGGCATTCTGAAAAAAAGCATATTACTAATTGTGTGCACTGAATAGTGAAAGCCATTAAAAGTAACACTTCAGCATACCTGACAATTCTTGTTTTACAAACGAAAGCACAGCCAGGTAAACCTGACAGTCAGCTATGATTATCTGCCTCTGAAGCCGATCAACCATAGAGGGGGCGGATTTTCGGACATCAACCTATTTGGTGGAAAGAAAGCCCACAGTGATAAATCACACATAACAATGATAGTCCCCCGAGACAGTATTAGGTTATTGTACAAGGTAATTTCACACAGGAATTGTGAAACCTGGCATTCACTCAATGCCAAGACCAAATTTATCCTATGGGCCTGTCAGCTCCAAATTTCCATTAGTCTGACTTAGTTTTGTTTGAGCACTGTAACTCAAATAAAAATATTCTAACTGATACAAGCTGAATTCATAGGAAATATGAAAGCAACACAAAACTTCAGAGTTTCACCTTTTTTTTAAAAAAAAAAGTAAAGTCTTTCTTATCCAAAATAAAAATTATTAAAGGTACAATATACTCCTCCAAGTAGATAACCTGAAAAGTCAACTTTGTAGCCACCTGTCTTCCGGTAGGATAACATTAGGGGCATTCTTTTTTTTTGTTTTGAGATGAAGTTTCACTCTTGTCACCCAGGCTGGAGTGCAGTGGTGCAGTCTCGGCTCACTGCAACCTCTACCTTCTGGGTTTAAGCGATTCTCCTGCCTCAGCCTTCTGAGTAGCTGGGATTATAGGAATGTGCCACTACACTGGATAATTTTTATTTTATTTTATTTTTTTTGAGACGGAGTTTCGCTCTTGTTACCCAGGCTGGAGTGCAATGGCGTGACCTCGGCTCACCGCAACCTCTGCCTCCTGGGTTCGGGCAATTCTCCTGCCTCAGCCTCCTGAGTAGCTGGGATTACAGGCACGCGCCACCATGTGCAGCTAATTTTTTGTATTTTTAGTAGAGACGGGGTTTCACCATGTTGACCAGGATGGTCTCGATCTCCTGACCTCACGATCCACCCGCCTCGGCCTCTCAAAGTGCTGAGATCACAGGCTTGAGCCACTGCACCGGCCTAATTTTTATATTTTTAATAGAGACACGGTTTCTCCATGTTGATCAGGCTGGTCTCAAACTCCCAGCCTCAGGTGATCCTCCTACCTTGGCCTCCCAAAGTGCTGGGATTACAAGTGTGAGCCACCGCACCTGGCCACATTAGGGACATTCTATTCGTGCATGCAACTGAGATGTAAGGATCAGAAACAGATTACATTTCCATTAAGGAGAAAATATTCTGGAATTCAAAATTAGCTTTTAATAAATCACAAACAATACTTGAAATATAAGTCATATAAATAAAAATAGGCAAAGTCAAATCACTTTTTATAAAACGTTGGTCTTTATCATGTTTCTAAACTGAAGAAAAATCACTCCAGAATAGAACATTCTATATTTAGTACAAGGTAAACTTGAATAAAATAAGTTAAATAGCTTTTAATATACTATCACAATGACAGAAAAAATAATAGTTTTTGCAGATGGGTCAACAATATACACAGTAGTCACGCCAGATTCATCTCCTACCCCTTTTTCTAGATTTTAGCATAATCCATCATGGTTACTGTGGCTCCAAATCTAACCCCAGCACTCACTACTCTATTCACTCGGGAAAATGTCAAGATGCTTTTATTTCCTCATTTGTAATAACATCTGGCTGGGCATGGTGGCTCATGCCTATAATTCCAGCACTTTGGGAGGACGAGGTGGGTAGATCTCCTGAGGTCAGGAGTTCTAGACCAGCCTGGACAACATGGTAAAAGCCTGTCTCTACTAAAAATACAAAAAATTAGCTGGGTATGGTGGTGGGTACCTGTAATCCCAGGAGGCTGAGGCAGGAGAATCGCTTGAACCTGGGAGGCGGGGGTTGCAGTGAGCAGAGATCGTGCCATTACACTCCAGCCCATGAGACAGTGCGACACTCCGTCTCAAAAAAAAAAAAAAAAAAAAAAAAAACAACTGTGTAGGATTGTTGGGAGGGCTAATGAGATGTTAAATGTGAAAACACTTTTTAAATTCCAAGGACACATTACAAATGTTAATTATTAATGCAAATGCTAGACATGGTACTGGATACTGATGACAGAAATGTAAATAAGCTTTCATTGTACTGAGGAAATACAGACCTTATTACTATGTATTGTGGAAAGCACTCTAAGGGTAAGGGCAGGGAACCACGGGACCTGTAGGAGACATACTCCACAGGGCATGGAGCCTCTAACAAGAGTCCTTGGGGAAAGGGACACCTAGAAAGAACTGAAAAAGAGCAGGAACCAGGAAATGAGGGAGGAGAATGTTCCAGGCAGAGGAAATGCAAATGCCAAGGCAGCCACATTAGGGAGTTGGTACTTTATTATAATGGTAATGGCTGGTGAGAGGGGCCACTGAAAACCAAGTAAGCAACAAATTTGCATTTTAGTGACTATATTATCAACAATGATTAGAGCAGCAGACCCCAACCTTTTTGGCACCAGCAACCAGCTTTATGGAAGACCACTTTTCCGTGGACCAGGTTGGGGGGTTGGGAGGGTATGGGTTAATGGCTTCAGGATGAAACTGTTCCACCTCAGATCATTAGCCATTAGTTAGATTCTCATAATGAGCGCACACACTCTAGATCCCTTACATGCACAGTTCATGCTCCTATGACAATCTAATGACGCTGCTGATCTGACAGGAGGTGGAGCTCAAGTGGTAATGGTCACTCACCCTGCAGCTCACCTCCTGCTCTGCGGCCTGGTTCCTAACAGTCCATGGACCAGTATGGACCCATGGCCCAGGTGTTGGGGACCCCTGCATTATGAAACCATGAGACCAGAGGCAGAAATGCCGATGTGTCTTAGACAAGTGGGATGGTGTCTGACCTACAGAGATGGCAGTAAGGATGGAGAACAGTCGATGAATTCAAGAGGTATTTAAGAAAAAGAGTCAACAGCACTTGGTCATTGATTAGACATCAGGTTGGAGAGAGAGGAAGCTAGGAAAACTCTGGCCCTCTGGACCTTTAGGAGATGGGACACTTGGCCCGTAAGTAGCTTTCTCATGGTGGACACTATAAACAAGAGCAGAGGTAAAGCACTCTCCTATGAGGGCACAGGCCTGCAGGAGTAGAAGACAGGTGGCTTCTGATGACTATATCCAACAGACTGATTTGTCAGTGACGTATGTGAGACCCTTGGGCCCTCCAAGTAACATCAGGGCTAGGAGAATGCCTCTCCACAGCCTAGCACTTTTGCACTGAAAGATGAAGGCAAAATCAGGAAAACTTGATTATGATGTTATTATGACTATTTGCAACCAAAGGCTGGTGAGGCCTGGGGAAAATTAGGTAAACTGTTGAATTTCAGAATTATACCAAAATGCAATTCTATTATTCATCAACTGCCATTGCATCCTATTTGAATTACGTATAGGAAAAGCTCATTAAAACAGCTCTTGCCACACAGCCCATTATGGAAGAAGATGATTGATTCTAAGATATCAAATGCACATGCACTGAATGGCTCTGGATGACTGAAAGGACCTTCTGATTTTTTAAGAGATATATTTTATATAGACAAAAACCTAAGAAACATTGTGGTTTTCAGCGATATTCTAAATACCAAAACCAAGCAAATGGTTTTTGTTCTAAATGAACAAAAGTGATATTCTAAATAAGCAGCACACAGTTCACAACCTGAAGCCGCAGTACTTACATTCTTCTTAATTTTATTCTTGATTGTTTCTATTACTCCAGCCTCTTCACTTTCACATAGTTTTTCTGTAGTTTTTAAGTCATCACATGCCAACTGCATTTTTTCTTCCTCAAATGTCATCATGGCATTCTAGAAAGAGAGAGAGACAGAGAGAGAGAGAGAGAGAGAGAGAGAGAGAGAGAGGAGAAAGAAAGAGAGAGAGAAGAAAAAAGAGAGAGGAGAAAGAAAGAGAGAGAAATAAATGTAGGCAAATTTGTTACAACAAAACTCCAAATTAAAAAAAAATTATTTATTGTAATCAAAAGAATGTAAATGTAACAGCACAATCTATTCATTTAAACAAATTATAATTTCAACATGAAATAAGACTATACCTCTATCACATCATCATTAAAAAATATAGTAATAAATGTCCTTGCAATTACTTTTCTACAAGTTTTATTGTTGCTGTTATTAAACACAACAACAAAAATTCTCTATAATTTCTGATTGGTCTGCTCAATTCAGTTTTTACAATGGTGTCTCATTCAAAACTTCATTCTACCCACATATGGATGATCCCTGGTTCTGCCAAAGTACTGCACAGAAAATGCTAATGAAACAACAGCTTGTAGGTACTCTTGGAAAAATTCAGTCTTTCCAGGGACTGCAATTCCAGTGGGTTCACTTAAAAGCAATTCATTTTGTTATCTATGGTCCAAAATTTCATGACAGCTTGTTTCTAGGCACCTGATCCTGGTGGACTTTTTCTGGTCACATTTAACCAGGAAGGGGAAATCTACCAAATTGCTGAACACCTGTGACTTCTACCCAGCAGAGCTAAGTTTTCTGAGATGAATGGGCTTACAGGGGAAGAAAGAGACTTGCTACAGGATATCTGGTTCTTGGAAGGACCTAATGAACCTATGTCTCTAGCTCCCCATTTCCTATCAAGTTCCACCACCTCCATCTTGGCATTTCACATTTCAGGCTTCCTCAGTATGGCTCTAACCTACTTCTCCGTTCTAGCCAAACCACACCACCATCACCTTGGCCCAAACCTCCCTGCCCTCTTCTTCCCAACCCTCCTCTCAAGCTGCTGAAATCTCAACCCGGCTATGTGGCCTTGCTTCTCACCTCCTCCTCCACCACCAGACTCAGCCAAGACCCTTTAGTTGTATCTTGTTTACAGCTCTTGTAATCATCTGAGTACTAAAGTTACGACCCTGACCCTGTACCATTCTCCTTGAGGTTGGGAATAATGTATTCTTTCAAACAATAGCCCTTAACATTTTTGTTGCATTAACTGGCAATAAGGGGAAATAAATACCTTGAATTAAAATGTCTCACTGGAAGCTGGCCTGGTACCTGTGGTTGAGCACTGCCAGGCTGTGTGTGACATGCCCATTCGCTGATTCTAAGTCTTAGATCTAAATGCTTTCTCTTTTTCAGTCTCTGTCGTGTCTTTTTTTTTTTTTCTTGTTGTTACACAATTCTTCAACAGTCTTTTAAAAAATTAGTGTTTGAAAGTAGTTTGTGTGATGCTTAACTGTTTCTGAAAAATCAAAGCATCCTATTTTCCACATTGCCCAATGTACTTTAAAACCTAACTGCAACGTACTTCCTCTACTCCCAAATACTCATATTTGGTAAGGTAATACTAACTAACAAACGTTAGCTCCACTCACTTAACTTGTCCTCTAGTCTGCATTTACTCAATAATTTTAGAGCAAACCTTTATTATTCAAACCCAGACCTTTTTTTCTCCCTCGAATGCAGTTTTAATCACTGAAGGTCTTTCCATTACAGTTTTATTCTAAAAAGGATTTTGGTTAAAATATAATACTCTATAAATAAGATATAAGCATTTATTTTTAAAATTAAGGAAGACAGATTATTTCATAGGCATTGGGTAATAGGCAAAAACTTTATTTCAGCTTTAAACTCTAAAAGATTTTCTATAATAGTGTATCTATACAACTGGTAGCCACTGACAGACATTACTTTACATAATTGTTTCCTTCATGCCACTAGGTCTTAAGATACCAACTTACCAAAAAACTGACAAAACTGGCTCCAAAACTCATGAGTGGGCTATGATTTCTGTTAAAAAAATAAAATAAAAATACAATTATTTTCATTGTAAAATTTTATTTTAAAAGCATTTGACAAATCATGATTACCATGTAATCCTACTAATTGGATAAAAGAAGTTAAGGTCATCAAGCAGATTAAATCTCACAAAGAAAGACGTTAAAGAGGCAAGGTGGTTTACAACTCTATCTGCCCGAACAGAATTTGCCTCTGATTCTTCAAAGCAAGGCAAACAAAAATTCAAATTATAACAGATACTGCCTTAGTAAACTTTTTCATTGTGGTTATTAAAGAGTTGACACAGTAAATATAAAGATGTTAGAAACAGGCCGGGTGCAGTAGCTCACGTAATCCCAACACTTTGGAAGACTGAGGCAGGCAGATTACCTGAGGTCAGGAGTTGGAGACCAGTCTGGTCAACAGGGCAAAGCCCCATCTCTACTTAAAATATGAAAGTTAGCCAGGTGTGGTAACGGGTGTCTGTAATCCCAGCTACTCGAGAGGCGAAGGCAGGGAGAACTGCGTGAACCTGTGAGGCAGAGGTTGCAGTGAGCTAAGATTGTACCACTACCCTCCAGCTTGGGCGACAGAGTGAGCCTCTGTCTCAAAAAAGAAAAAAAAGGTAGAAAGAATCTGACCCCTATAAAAACATGGCCAAGAAAGATGGTTATTTTTCTGTTTTAAAATAATCTTCTGCCATTACCAGCTTGATCATTTTTAAAACGCAAAACTTGTTACATTTGTTAATGATTCTCAAATGAGAATCAGTATAGTTTCTAGAGTAGATCAAAGCGTTTCATCACTGAGTCAGACTTCACAAACTCATTCACCAATCCAGGAACCTTAGGAATGCCTCCCTAAGAGTCAGCCATTCCTTCCTTGTAATCATCTGATTTTGTTGTAAGCCAAAAATGAAACTGAATCAATACCAATATAGTTTAAAGAATATAAGAATATAAATGTTCTGCTTCAAAATCAAAAATAGTGCAAAATAGTACAAAATCCAGATCTCTATAAACTGCACTAAAAGGAAAAGCAAATTGTAATTACCTTCTTAAATGAAAATCATTTTACTGATTTTTTTATTATGCAAATAATATATGGTCACCATAAAAAGGCATGAAACAATTATTCAACCTCCTACTATAAATACAGAAGATATGCAAAGTGAGAGAATGTGTGTGTCCACGGGAAAGAGAAGATGCACACTTACTTTGGCTATGTGTGTGTACACACACATATGCCTAATTGACATCCTGCACATATATTTTTGCAGAAAAGGCCAAATACATTCTTGCGATAAAATGCCAGAGGTAGCACTACTGAGATAAAGCGTACACATATTCATTTTTCTCTTGGTGCACTCTGTGTCAGAGAAACAGAATGTGTGTGAGACCCAGGACTTGATTTAACATTAACATTAACCTTCTGCTACCATTTTTTCATCTACTTAGTACCTACCTAAATTCTACAGTTAATAATAGTCTGCTTAACCCACTTAATAGGTTACTTAAACCTACATTCAAAAAAAAAAGGAAGGTCAATTCACTTGTGAGGAATTCCTAACCATCACTCACACCCGTGAACCTAGCTCAAACGGCACACTTTTATAGTGTCTGTCATCCCCACAATCTGCCTCAGAATATGTTAGTTTTTCTCATTCCATAGCACTACATGGGCGTAACAGCACAGGCTCCTACCCTATCCTACTGCATATATAATATCCACCTGACATACAGCAGGCGTTTCGCAAATCCAAGTCAGTGAAGAAAGGGGTGACACAGAACTAACTCTGCCTTTCAGGAACCACACACGTCTCAATCAAGTGCTGAGTGCTTTTCCCTCCTTTTCCCTTTCCTTGCTTACGTATTGGCCACTTTGCCACTTGCAAAACAAAGGAAACTGAAACCAGGGCCTACTATTGCCACGTCTGCTTCTAAAATTAGGTTACTGAGAGCTGTGGCAATTAATTATTCATGGTACCTAACCGAGCCCTTATGACTTCATATACCATCTTATCACTTAAGTAGGGGGGAAAATCATAGAAACCAGCCCATTGAAAGCATTTTCCCTCCTTAAAGAACTGTCTGCATCCCACACAGCACCCAGGTGCATCAGGCACATGATAATGTACTGCAGGACAGGTGGTTGTCCTCTCAGGCTGCCCATCACTCCCTGGTAGAACAGCTCGATCTAACACATTTCACTTGGTACTTGGTTGGTTGGTTGTTTTTTTCAGACAGAGTCTCCCTCTGTCACTCAGGCTGGAGTGCAATGGCGCAGTCTCAGCTCACCGTAACCTCCGCCTCCCCAGTTCAAGCAATTCTCCTGCCTCAGTCTCCCGAGTAGCTGGGATTACAGGCATGTGCCACCACGCCTGGATAATTTTTGTATTTCTAATAGAGACGGGGTTTCACTATGTTGGCCAGGCTGGTCTTGAATTCCTGGCCTCAAGTGATCCGCTCTCCTCAGCCTCCCAAAGTGCTGGGATTACAGGCGTGAGCCACTGCACCCAGCCCACTTGTATTTTTTTTTTTTAACAAGTGACCCTAAGTTAACTTACCACATCCTAATCAATTATCAGTTGTGGACCACACATGTGTCTCTGAACAAAATGCATTCATTTTGGAGATCTGGAAATGTTCCCAAAGAGTATGAAGGTCCTTAGTTCAAAACCAGTGCTGTGGAAGGGGAGGAAGTATTTGGAACCAACAGACAAACACCAAACAAGAGGGGAGTGGGAGCGCCATGTGAAGGCTGCGTATAAAGGTAAGCACTCGAACCCAAATACAAACCTTTCTAAATACCAGAAGATATACAAAAAACAGGGCAAGTGAAATAAGCAATAGTGAAAAACCCACTTTTTTAAAAGAAGACTAAACACATATACCTATTTGCTGATATTGAAAAAAACAATGGTAGGGTAATCTATAGCATTTTTTTCAAAATTGATACCTATAAGTGAGGGAGGGGAACAGGGAAGAAGAAACAAGGATGGAAATGAAGCTCCTTTTATCCGTCTTGTTTTGTAGATTTTGGTTTGAAATCATGCAAAAATTATTCACAATACTAAATCAAATGTTAATAATGCAATCCCTGAAGTCAAAAGAAAGTGAATGAAGTGTCCCTAAAAGCAAATCCGGTTGATAACATAACACCAGAGCAGCACTATTCCAAGAGACTTTACAACATAATAATCTGACAGCATATCCATATTGTGAAATACCCTTTAAAACTGACCCCAAAAGGTGGCCAAAAGAAAAATCTTAATCTGTTTTCAGTAATCATATTCTTACTGGACAAGTGGGTGCTATGATTCTAAGGCTGCTGGGTCGTATGGGTGGTAGCAGGTGAGAAAGCAATCAGTATGTCAGTGTTTGTTGGGACCCAGGACTTTGTGCATAGGAAAAAGGATGAAATAAACTTCTAAATCTTATAGTCCAGAATACAAACTGGAAGAATAAAAGCAAACTCATTGAATTTTTTATCTTTAAAAGAATACAGCTGGGCACAGTGGCTCACGCCTATGATCTTAGCGCTTTTGGAGGCTGAGGTGAGAGGATCACCTGAGGCCAGGAGTTCGAGACTAGCCTGGCTAACATGGTGAAACTTGTCTCTACTTAAAATAGAAAAATCAGCCAGGAGTGGCAGTGTGTACCTGTAATCACAGCTACCCGGAAGGCTGAGGCAGGAGAATTGCTGGAACCCGGGAGGTGGAGGCTGCAGTGAGCCAAGACTGCGCCACTGCACTCCAACCCAAGTAACAGAGCAAGTCTCCATCTCAAAACAACAAACAAACAAACAAAAACTCTTTCCCAAAAAAAAACGATTTCCTAGCTCTGTCCACTGAAAAAGGCTGGGAGCAATGATCACCTAGTGGCACTACACAGCCTGCATCCTTTCCAGGAAAGGAAAAGAGACTATGACTTCTTGTAGAAATGGCTGATTCCAGGTTAGGGGCAAGAAATATTCCAGAAGAGCTTGAAATATCATGTCATAGCAGAATGTAAGGAAGTTTAAAAAACATATTAGGGCCTTGAAGGGTTTCCTACTAGCCAAAGACAGAACAACCGATCATCCCTAAGGGTAGAAATATCAATGAACTGAAACATCAAGTAAGTTTAAATTCATTATAAACCGCGAGTTCATAATGATACTTTCAGTTTTGTTTGTTTGTTGTTTTTTGAGACGGAGTCTCCCTCTGTCACCCAGGCTGGTGGTGCAATCTCGGCTCATTGCAACCTCCATCTCCCAGGTTCAAGTGATTCTCTTGCCTCACCCTCCTGAGTAGCTGGATTACAGGCAGATATCACCACGCCCAGCTAATTTTTGTATTTTTAGTAGTGATGGGGTTTCACCATGTTGGCCAGGCTGGTCTCAAACTCCTGACCTTGCGATCCGCCTGCTTTGGCCTCCCAAAGTGCTGGGATTACAGGCATGAGCCATTGCACCCAGCTGATACTTTTAATTAAAAAAAAGAAAAAAAATCTCACTGGCTGCCTGTGGAAGATCCTAAGGAACCAATTCATTATTTTGAAAACTGATTAAAAAAAAAAAGGGGGAAAGAATAAGCACTTGCCCTGCTTTTTCTCTATGAACTCAGACTAACCAATCAGTTGGGGTGGTAGAAGAAGGAAGAGTTTTCCCTTACAAGAGTATCCTGGGCTAGCAAATAATAGCATTGGAGTATCATCATTCTGCAGCTCCTAATAAATTAACAGATAGAGGCAACAATCATAAAGATGGGGACAGAACATATTCACCACCACCATGGCAGAGAATCAGCCAAATTCAAGCTGTGAGAAATTCTACAGGACACAAATCCTAGTTTCTTAAACAGCGATAAAAAATCATAAGGGGAAAAAGAGATGAAAGAGGAACCTCTAAAATAAAAGATAAAAAAACAACGGAAACACATAAAGACAATATAAGAGGCATATAAAACAATAAATACTTACACATACACACCTATGCATAAACACATACATACACACACACTAGCAATAATT